TCTCCTTCTCCTTCTCCTTCTCCTTCTCCTTCTCCTTCTCCCTCTCCCTCTCCCTCTCCTTCTCCCTCTCCTTCTCCCTCTCCTTCTCCTTCTCCTTCTCCTTCTCCTTCTCCTTCTCCTTCTCCTTCTCCTTCTCCTTCTCCTTCTCCTTCTCCTTCTCCTTCTTCTTTTTCTTTTTTTTTTCCCCAAGACAATTGTGTATGTGAGATGGATACCTTATATACAAAAAATGCAGTGATCCTATTTGAAGATGAACAGGTGAAAGGTAACAACGGATCAGAGTGATGTCATTAATTACGTAAACATGTTTGAATTACGTAATAAATTGAAGTTAACCCTACGTGTAACCGGTATGTGAAACATACTCTCGTGTAGATAAGTCAGAAAGTAATAAAAGATAAATAACTATAAAAATAAAGTATATACAAATGTTTCAACCCTAACCAAGGGAACATAGATACATAGTACATATCATCACTCAGTTATATAGCAAAATATTGTCAGTGCAATTTTGAAGCATTATACGATATGGACTACTTCCATCATGGAGTTACGGCAAAAAACTGTACTATATTAATGCATTCTGTAAAACATAGCTCAATCATATATTATCTTCTAGGTAAAAAATAATATAATGAGTTCTCATTTAAACCAGATGGTGATAATGTTTCTAACGTGTATATCCAGAAAGCCTTACGTCTGAGTAACAGGTTATCACGATCTCCTCCTCTGGGTGAGATAGGTATGTGATCTATTCCCATAAAGCAAAGTGAGGACAGGCTATGTCATATCTCAAGGAAATGCCGGGTGACTGGAGGGCTCGCAGCGCTGCTCAGTAGTGCTGAACGTATAGTAGACCTGTGACCCCGCATGCGTTCCCTTAGGTCATTAGATGTCTTGCCCACGTAAGTAAGACCACAGGGGCATATAATTCTATACACAACATATGTGGTCCTGCACGTAATCCGGTGTTTAATTGTGTACACCTTTCCAGATTTTGGGTGACAGAAGGTTTTACCCAGTATCATAGAATTGCACGCCAGACAGTTCAAACAGCGAAAACATCCAGCTTTTGTCACTTTCTGTAATGACTGTGTTGTGGACACTATATCTGTGTGCATCAAATAGTCTCTCAGATTTTTCCCTTTTCTATAACTCGTAACGGGATGTTTTTTAAATACAGGAGGCAGGGATGAGTCATTGTATAGAACGTGCCAATTTTTCGAATGGTATCTCTGAGTTTTTGGGACTTTGGATGAAATGCCTGAGGGAAGATGAATCGATCACCGATGTCTTGATGAATCCTGTTTTCTGCAATTGATTCTATTGCCTTTGTGTATGCACCATTCAAAACCGTTTTTGAATACCCTCTTTGTAGGAATTTTTGGAACATGTCCTGAATCTGTATCTTCGCCCGGCTGTCATCTGAGTTATTGCGCAATACTCTTATTAATTGGGAGATAGGCAGTGACTCTTTTAGTTTTCTAGGATGGAAACTTGTTGAATGCAGAATAGTGTTCCTATCCGTTGATTTAAAAAACAAAGTATAGCCCAAGCAACTGCCTGTGATGAAAAGTTGTAGATCCAGGAAATTGATATTAGTCATACTAGACCGGTAAGTGAATCTCAAAGGTGTAGGAAGGGAATTCAGTGCGTGCCTCATGTTAACAAACATTGAAACATAGAAACATAGAATGTGACGGCAGATAAGAACCATTCGGCCCATCTAGTCTGCCCAATTTTCTAAATACTTTCATTAGTCCCTAGTCTTATCTTATAGTTAGGATAGCCTTATGCCTATCCCACGCATGCTTAAACTCCTTTACTGTGTTAACCTCTACCACTTCAGCTGGAAGGCTATTCCATGCATCCACTACCCTCTCAGTAAAGTAATACTTCCTGATATTATTTTTAAACCTTTGTCCCTCTAATTTAAGACTATGTCCTCTTGTTGTGGTAGTTTTTCTTCTTTTAAATATAGTCTCCTCCTTTACTGTGTTGATTCCCTTTATATATTTAAATGTTTCTATCATATCCCCCCTGTCTCGTCTTTCCTCCAAGCTATACATGTTAAGATCCTTTAACCTTTCCTGGTAAGTTTTATCCCGCAATCCATGAACCAGTTTAGTAGCCCTTCTCTGAACCCTCTCTAAGGTATCAATATCCTTCTGAAGATACGGTCTCCAGTACTGTGTACAATACTCCAAGTGAGGTCTCACCAGTGTTCTGTACAATGGCATGAGCACTTCCTCTTTCTACTGCTAATACCTCTCCCTATACAACCAAGCATTCTGCTAGCATTTCCTGCTGCTCTATTACATTGTCTGCCTACCTTAAGTCATCAGAAATAATCACCCCTAAATCCCTTTCCTCATATGTTGAGGTTAGAACTCTATCAAATATTCTGTACTCTGCCCTTGGGTTTTTACGCCCAAGATGCATTATCTTGCACTTATCCACATTAAATGTCAGTTGCCACAATTCTGACCATTTTTCTAGTTTACCTTTCCTCTCCACCAGTCCATAGAAGAAGGACGACATCTATAAAGCAGAGGCATTGTAATATATGTTCTCCATAAGGCCCAAGGATCTGTTGTTGCTCAAAAACAAACATGTATGCGTTTGCATACATGGGGGGCCATAGGAGGCACCCATTGAAGTTCCTGTCTGTTGTATATAGAATTTTGTTTCAAATCTAAAATAATTCAAAGTGAGGCATAGCTTCAAAAGTTCCAGTATATACTCCAGAGAGGGATTCACCCACTTAGTGAAATTCTGTAGAACTTCATTGATTGCTAGTATACCATCATTGTGTGGGATTATTGTGTATAAGCTAGACACATCAATCGTTGCTAGTAAAATCCCCTCTGCCGGTACTGTGATGTTGTTAAGACGTTCAATAACAGCTACACTGTCTTTGACACAGGTAGGCAAAGACAACACTGGAGTTTTAAATATCTTGTCCAGCCATTTACCGATGGGCTCCAATAAACCACCAATTACTGAGACTATAGCCTGGTCAAGAGTACTGTGTGTATATTTCTGTACCATATATCATGTGATAGGTGTGTTAACACAAAGAGCACTGAGTATCAGTCCGCTTACAAGAGCATAAGATTCATGTTTAAGAAAAGTAAAGCAATAAAAAAGAACCGTAAATGAAACAAAAGTCATTCCAGAGTCTGGTAAAGTATCGCATCTGTGGGTGTACCTGGTTTCGTAAGAGTTTGTAGCTTGGGAATCGGTTTATCCCCAGAACAGATTCGTTCAAATTTAGTGTGTTCCCTGTTTTTCCATTTTAACAGACTTTGAGCCTTTAAAAAGTGTTGTATCTGGGGCGTGGCTTGGTGCCTGAACTGAATGGACGCACATCTGTGAAGCTCCTGCCGTTCTGGTGCCCTGGAGCACAAATAACCAGACTAAAGAGCAGAATATCAACACCCACAGACTCAGTGTTACAATGCTCCAACCACCGCTAAGGCCACATCTGAGCTGCACGCCTATGGCAATGCTCACCCTCCTGCCCCCCATACTATGCGATCAAAAGTTCCTTGACGCACTATGGCTCAGAGAAAAGGAGCTAGTCAGGGCACGTTGCCCATTAATTTTTTACACCCCCCTCTCTCCCCCCATCTGGCCTTATCCCCCACCAGATGAACCCTACATTCCCCAAGAAGTGTCATCCATTGCTCCATACTCAGACTACTCCACCAGGGCCGAGCCACCAACGGCATCCTAATAAGATTCACGAGAATCTCTTGATCCTAATAACTACTTGTAAATATAAACATTATATAGCACAGACACCCCCTATCACACAGCTATGAGACTGGTATCCCACAATGTGAAAGGGTTGAACACCCCAAATAAACACAGGTTACTGCTTAAAGACCTAACCAAAAACAAGGCAGACATCACCTGTATTCAGGTAACGCACTTTAGGAAAGACCGCACTCTGGCCATTTTCACAAAAACTTACCCCACCCAATTCCATTCTCTCGCAAGTACCAAAACTAAAGGAGTATCCATCCTGATCCACAGAGATGTGGCCTTCACACCGCTGTGCCACAGTATAGACCCGAGAGGCAGGTACATCATATTGGTGGGACAGTTCAACAATGCCCAACTTACGCTAGTAGCAGCCTACTCCCCCAACGACAATCCCAAGCAATTCCTCCAAATGTTTCTGCAAAAAAACGATAGACTTAAACAAGGTAATGTAATTTTGTGCGGAGATTTCAATTGTATTCAGTCACCCACTCTTGACACGACCACCACCCTTACAGGCAATAGCAAAAAGAGATTAGACACCATGAGCAAGTCCTTTACTAGGTTGATAGACCAATATGACCTCTTAGATGCCTGGAGATCACTACACCCGGGAGAAAGGGATTATTCCCTCTACTCGTGGGCTCATAACACATATACCTCGTATAGATGCATTACTTCTAGATAGACAGCTCCAGACCCAACTGACTGACTGTACCATGGGGGACATAACATGGTCAGACCATGGCCCGGTCTACCTTGACCTCCTAGATGCCTTCCACTTTAAATGGAGAGGCCCATTGAAACTGAACGACTCCCTGCTGTCAGACGCCACCTTTGCTAAAGAAATAAGGGAAGCACTGCAAGCTTACTTTGACACAAATGTAGTGGAGGGGGGCTAAGACACTACGGTTTGGTCGGCGCACAAGGCAGTCATAAGGGGCCTGTTTATCAAGAGATCCTCATTTCTGAAAAAACACCATCAAACCAACCTCCTAGATTGCCATAAGCAAATCGCTCTAACATCCATACAGAACAAACTACAACCCTCACCACACCTAGAGGCACAACTTCAAACACTATATACTCACCTAGCAGACCTGAATGCAGAAAAAAACAAAACAATGCTCCACAAACTAAAAGCTAAAGTTAATCACAATAGCGGTAAAGCCAGTAAATACTTAGCCAATAGACTGCGCACTAAGTATACCAGCTCCAAAATTGCCCACATCATGGAAGAGGATGGCAACAGAAAAATCACCCCCATTGCTATCAGTCATGTATTTGTGGAGTGCTACTCCAAGTTGTATAACCTAAAAACTACCAGCAATGCACACTCAGCTAGCATAGATAAAATAGATAGATACTTGAGATTGGCTAACCTCCCCCAGATCAACCAGACTCAAGCAGCTGAACTGCTCAAGCCTATAGAACTACAAGAAGTGCTGAAAGTGATAGCAGGATTGTCAGGGGGCAAAGTGACTGGCCTTACTAATGCCTATTACAAGCTATATGCCATGGAGCTAGCTCCGCACCTCCTGAAGGTGTACCACTCAGCCTCTGAATTGGGGAAGTTATAGCATGAAATGCTATTAGCTACTATAGTAACCTTGCCAAAACCAGATAAAACACCAGAGCAGTGCAAGAATTACCGCCCCATATCGCTATTAAATACAGATGCAAAAATATACACAAAAGCTTTAGCTAATAGATTTAGTGACCTACTACCAAGCCTCATAGAGGATGACCAAACAGGTTTTGTGAAAGGCAGGCAGGGACTAGATAACACCCGAAAGCTGACGCTACTACTAGAGTGCCTCCGGAGGGACAGGGGCTGCTGGCTGCTCCTTGCACTGGACGCTGAAAAGGCGTTTGACCGCCTCAGCTGGCTTTTCCTGGAACTCACACTAAAGGCATATGGGTTCCCCCCACCAGTCGTAAGACAGGTGTTTGCCTTATACTCTGCCCCAGCAGCCCTGTCTCATCCAATTGGGGATGAGACAGGGCTGCCCACTATCGCCCCTATTGTACATATTAGCCCTCGAACCCCTTTTACGTATCATCAGAGCGTACCTTCTCCTCCATGGCATTAACGTAAAAAACACAGAATATAAAATTAGCACTTTCGCAGATGGTATCATACTTTAAATCACGAAACCCCTTGAATCCCTCCCTAACCTTATGCAATCTATACGAGACTATGGCCACCTATGGTAATACTCCTTAAACACAACAAAACCCCAAGCTATGGGGACAGGCCTCCCTGCATCCCAGATACAGACCCTGAGCAAGTCATATCCATTTGAGTGGATGAAAGACCATGTAAAATACCTGGGACTCCTCTTCACCAGGAAACCCACAGACCTCATAACAAGGAACTATATCAGAGTCTGGAATGAGTGTAAATCAACCTTAAAGACATGGGATCCCCTCTTCCTTTCGTGGACTGAGAGAATAGTTGCACTAAAGATATCTGTACCCCCAAGGTTACAATATGTCTTTCGGTCTCTTCCACTAAAACTCACGTAATCCTATTTCAAATCAATCCAAAAGGACATGAATAGGTTGGAGTCATACGAAATCCCACATATTTTATGGTTACCCAAACCGCTCAGACCGGCAATCCAAGACATACCCGACCAACTGTCATTGCTATTGAGCACATGGGATACACACAGAGCCAAACTGAGCGCTAACCTCCAAATCTCTAAAGCCATGCCCACATGGGCCTTACCATACTGTATTCCAATGTTCAATGCTAGACCATGGCATGAAAAAGGCCTCCAAAACATAACCCACTTCTACACGGGAACAACGCTCACAGACTTCGCTACACTACAATCAGAACACGGTATTCCACATACCTCACACTTCTCTTATAGACAACTCTAATCCTTTCTACACAAATACGAGTCCCATGACCCAACACCGCACCAGATAGGTGCACCAACTCTCACCCTATGGGAACAGATATGTATTAACAAAAACCTGCCCAGGTCTTGCAGGCCGCTCTCCATGTGTTACAGGTTACTCCTAGACTACACACCACTGCCCGACGCCACACCTGCGAAGCAGTGTGCTCTAGCCCTTAAAGAGGAGATCTCTCAGCAGCAATGGAAATACATAGTTGTCTCAAAAAAAATTGGTCAAATCGGCCACCATCCTAGAACAACATACGAAAATCATATACAGATGGTACTTAGTACCGGTGAGACTGCACAGACTCTTTCCATTCAGCTCCCCAAGGTGTTGGAGATGCACGTCCATATAGGTACCGTCCTACACATCTTGTGGCAATGCCCGCAGATCTAACCATTCTGGGAGGCCATACTCACTATGCTACTAGGAATCACACACATTGAACTAAAGTATGACACACACACGTACTTACTACTTTCACTCCCTGCGGGGACACCCCCACATACGTGAAAAATGTCCTCTCACCTGCTCCTTACAGCACAACGCGTAATCGTGAGATCATGGAAATCTAGTCAAAAAATATACGAACGTTTCACCAACATATGCCCACCTAACAAAATGACCAGGGCGGCCTGGGGGGCCTGGGTCACATGGAGACCCTAAATAGTGGTTTGAGCACACACTGATATGGATAAGGTAGATAGATACCAGAATGGTACTAGATAGAGACTATCAGATAGGAACCAAAAAATGTTTCATGTACAAAGGTTACCGCATAGATAAAGAGGTAAAATAATGCATTGTCTGTAATTGTCGTGGTTCAGTAAAATTCGATGACAATCCCCTCCCTCCCCCTCCCCTTTTCTTTTTTTCTCTACCCCCCTATTAGTTGTGACATATTGAAAACAATAAAAATTGTCATATTTAAAAAAAAAAAAAAGTGTTGTATCTGAAAGTATTGGAACCTTTGCATAAGGGTTGAGGGTCTATGATTCGTCAATTCACTTATTGAAACCATATCATCCTCCCCCATGATACTAAGCAGCTGAGTATATGTGGCCTGTTTACTGGTGTTCAGTGGTGATAGCAGTATTCCACTCCTACCTGTTAGAAAAAGAGGGTTGTAAGATATAGGGCATTTAGGGGATGGAGTTGGTGCCAGATCCGGTATATGATAGATTTTGTTTCCAGATACGTTGCGGCCACTGTTGGGTGGGGAGAGATAGACCAATTATTTGACACCGTTATTAGCCATGGTAAAGCCCATAATGGATCACCTATTTGAGCTTGTTCTATAGGGATCCACAATTTAGATGATGGTCATATAGACCAATCGATAATACGTCCCAGATGGATTGCCTGGTAGTAGAGCTATATGTCGGGGAGGCCCACACCTCCATTTTCTTTAGGTCTAGTGAGAATATTATACAATATTCTTGGTCCTTTTTTGACCCAGATAAATAGGGTAAATAAGGTCTATATTGTCTTAAAAACTTCCGTGGGCTGTGATAGGGAGCGTCTTCCAAAGATACAAAAGCCTGGGGAGGACATTCATCTTGATAATGTTAACACGTCCAAACCAGTGGAAGTGTGGCTTATTCCAGTTATCCAAGTCCCTACGAACTGATTCTACTAATTGTGGGAAGGTGGCTGTGTATAAATCTTTGTCACGAGGGGTTACGTTAACTTCTAGATATTTTTATTTATTTTTTGGTTTTAAAATAATTTTTATTGAATTCCAACAAGAGTTACAAGTATGTTACCATTACAGTACAGTGTATTGTTGGTTGCAAAGTATCAATTAATATGGTGTTGATGTTATCGGTTTACACAGTATAAAAAGGACTTTCAGGATGCTTTACAGCATTTATGTGGGGTAACAACCCCTGGCTAAGTAACATGACTTCAGTTCTGAAACAATAAAACATACATCAAAAGAAGAACTGAGATCTTATAATGCATATGGAACTAGTGATACATATGGATTTGTACCCATACATGTGTGGGGGTGATATCCCTATACCCTCATGTCAGGTATGTTGGTCTTGTGCCTACCTGTCTGTCTACATTCAGAAAATGGTGACGTGTAGTCAGTGGCGTACACATGACCCATGGGGCCCCGGTGCGAAAATTGATCCGTGCCCCCCCCCCACCCCTGCGCTTACTCGGCGCGGGTTGGGGCCGCAACACATGGCGGTGGGCACCTGGTCGCAGGGGTTGCAGGGCTGCGACCCCGCGACCGTGGTATGCACACACACTTAAAGGACCACTACAGACACCCAGATCACATCAGCTCAATGAAGTGGTCTGGGTGCCAGGTCCCTCTAGTTTTAACCCTGCAGCTGAAAACATAGCCGTTTCAGAGAAACGGCTATGTTTCACTGAGGGTTAATCCAGCCTCTGGTGGCTGTCTCATTGACAGCTGCTAGAGGAGCTTCCGCGATTCTCACTGTGAAAATCACAGTGAGAAGACACTGAACGTCCATAGGAAAGCATTGAGTAATGCTTTCCATGTATGGCTTAATATGCCTGCTTGCCGCGTGGTGCATTCGGAGCTGAGAGGCGGAGGGATCCTAGCCAAGGGAGTCCGACGCTGGAGAAAGGTAAATGCTGAAGACACACACACTCACCTAACAGACGCATACACACTAGCTAACAGACACACACATTTACTGACAGAGACACACTCTGCGACAGACATACATACACACTCACTTACAAAACATACACTTTCACTGACAAACACACACTCACTAACAGACATCAAACACACTCAGTAACACACACACACAGTAACACACTCACTAGCAGACACACACCCAATAACAGACACACTCACTGACACACACACGAACACAAACAAACACACACACTAACACAAACACACACACTAACACACAAACTAACACACAAACACACACACACACACTAGCACACACACACACACACACTAACACACACACACAACACACTAACACACACACACACACTAACACACACACTAACACACACACACACTAACACACACTAACACTAACACACACACACACACTAACACATTTTTTTTTAATTTAATCCCCCCAGCCTCCTTACCTTTTGGAGTGCTGGGGGGATTCCCTGGGGTCCAGTGGTTCTGCTGGCCCTGCTGACCCCGGGTGGCCGGTCGGGCAGGCAGGCGGGCGCGCGAGGGAGCACTCAGTGCTTCCTCTTCAGCTCCCTCGCGCGCCGCGTAGGGATGCCGGCGCCGGAAGATGACGTCATCTTCCGGCTCCGGTATCATTGTGGTGCGCGAGGGAGCTGAAGAGGAAGCACTGAGTGCTCCCTCGCGCGCCCGCCTGCCTGCCTGCCCGACCGGCCACCCGGGGTCAGCAGGGCCAGCCTCAGGGGGGCCCTGGGGTGGCCTGCTCCTGGGCCCCCCAGGGGAAGAGGCTGGCCCTGTGGCTACATACCGGGTCGCAGGGGCGGCCGGGCCCCCTGGTGGGCCGGGCCCGGTCGCAGCCGCGACCCCTGCGACCTTGGTATGTACGCCACTGCGTGTAGTCTATATTTGTGTGTCAAGGAATAATGAGTGTCTTCCATTAAACAAATGGACTCATGAATCCATTCCATAACTGTAGTGGCTCTTTGTTGTTTCCAGAGCATTGGGATAAGCATGTTTGCC